CTCGATTCTCTTCTTAATCGTGAGCGCTGTCTTCACCGCTTAAATCGCCGACACTTTTACCGGGAACGGGGGTGCACGGCCGGGCTTCGTCTGTGTCGCTGGCCCCCTCGTCACTGTCGACCTGGGTCGGATTCCGTGCATCTGGTAGCGAGCGTAACGAGGCCACTCCCCCGCAAGCGAGCATTTGCTCTGGAGCAAATTTAATCCAGCTGCGTTCCATGTGCACATTTGTTTCGGAGTAGCGTCGCAAACGAGCATTTGCTCTGGAGCAAATTTTTAAACCACCTCCCTGAGGTGGATCAAATTTGGTTCGGTATAAGCTCTTTAGTGGAGCTACGCCGGAGCAAATGTGCACGTGTGAATGCTCCCTGACTTTGATAACTGGTGGGTTAGGATGTGATCCTGGAGGCTGCTTACTTCACATAATTTATATTCTTCTTAATGCTGTTCTTTTACTGTATTAAAAAAAGACAATAGTCAAAGAAAAAGAGCATTACACCATGTGTTTGCTAAACTGCGAGCGTGTGAAGTGTGCCGAGGTCTGGCATGACATTTTGCACAAGGGTGGGCAAACTTTTGGAATATGTTTTGTGCTCATTAAGCACAAGTTGTCACAACCTACCTGGACGTTTGCTTTGGAAATGTAGACCTCTGACGTGTAGGCATAGCTCACCAACATGCCAACCATCTGTGGCTCTACTCCATTGATGGCCACCCGCTCCTGTTTGGACTCCTTCAGGTCAGTGGTAAACATTGCCTAGTGGAGGCCAGCATCAAGTCACAACCCACGGCAAGGGCTTCGGTATCACATGAAATGGGGACGGGTCAAAGACAATTTGTGGCAACATTAACTCAGGGGTACCTGGAAGTAAGAGCTGAAGGAGGCCAGCACGATGCGGTGACAGGGGAACTCCTGTCCACCGCAACACAGTGTGACATCACAGAATGAGTTTTCGAGCCGCAGGGTGTTGAGGCCCTGCAAGACCGTGTTGGGGTGCCGGGCTTCCACAAACAAGTAATCTTCGCCGCTGCACGGGGATGCGGGAGTAGCTGGGGCGCAGGTCTCCTCTTGGATGTTGGCAATCAGAGAGTTGGCTGCCACAATCTCAGACATTTCCGACGCTGGCGAGAAATCCTGCGAATCAGACGGAGAAACAAGAGGGGAAAAAGCGGCACTTTTAAATGCCGTTCCACACTGGGCAGTTAAACTGCACTCAGAATGACGAGCTCCAAAATCATGTCAAGTCGTTATATTACGTAAAACACAAAAATTTCACATCTCAGAGTCTGGCGGCCAGAAATCGACTTGTTAGCTCGCTTACTAATGAGGCTTAATTTTGCAAGGTAACGGTAACAGATTAGCTGTCGGTTTGACGAATTCGTTGACCTCCCCCGTCATTTTAATAGCGAACGGAGCAGTGACATTGCAAACTTCGTAATAAGAGAGTGTAATTACCTGTAGGCATAATCGTGCTGCAACCGTGCTCATAAACACTTTTAATCCCGGCAAGGTAAACGATAAAACTGAGTGTAGACTCTTGTTCTATTTATAGGGGGTTGGTAAACAACTCTTCAGGCTCGTTACTGCCACTCACTGGCAAAGAGGCGTAGTGTTTCCCGACCTTTATTGAGCGGGCACCCATTTGACATTAAATATACTGTAAATCGCGGCACAATCCTACCACAGGTGAAAAAATGTCTTCAATTTGCTCGTAAATTTATTAGTGTGTGAAATCTGGGCCTGTTTAATTGAATAAAAAGCTCATATACTCGCAGGAAGCAGTGATTTATTCTGTTATATGGATGGCAATGCGTACAAACACAGTTTTATTGTACTTTCTGAAAATCTCATGGAAGAGCATTTATTGGTCCTCTTGAGTCTTGCCTTCACTATACGTCACCAATATAGATAGATGGCCCACGTTCCTGTGTTTTTAATTTTTATTGCTATGTTTGACTGTTTGTCATGTTTATAAAATGGTAGCAAAAAGCAAAAATGGATGGCTGTGTCCTTTTAGCCTTTTAACCCCTGCAAAATTTTAAAGTAGATACAAGGGGAAATGTTACTTTTCGACAGCAATTCAAACCTGCCGGCCTTTAGGTCACAGGTCACTTGACCAATCACCTGAAGTTATCCGCAGTATTTATTTGAAATATGGTATCACAGGAGCTCAGTTTTGGACCTCTTTTCTATATCTTTCACACATAATACTGAGGCCTTCTGAAACAGTGTTATACTCCAAAACAGCCAAAGAAAGTCAAATTAACAATTTATTGATTAAAAAAAAGTTGTCCACAATATGAATGTTTTACAAGTGCATTGATCCAATCATTAAATGAACACATTTCTGTTAATATTTGAATTTGACTTGAAGAGACAGGTTTATATTCCATTTCCTAATGGCTGACTCAAACACGGAGACAGTTATTGCATGAGGCCTGCTGTACATGGAGCACTTGGCGAAAAGTGACTGAACTGAACAATTGACAAGAAAATACACTCAATGACTCGTCACGCCGCACCAAGCGACTGAGTACCACACACTTACCGGCACACTGTAATGGAAAAACTGTAACTCTGTATTGGGTTTTGAGGCCCAACATTCAATATATTGTACTCTATTATTGGTTAATTGAACCACAAAAACATGGCGCAATTGTCAAGAATGAAGCGGATGGCCACAAAGAAGACCAAACGGGGAAGAATAAGGAGAGAGTATGGATATTTTGAAACGCTGTTGGCAATGATCGAAAGCTTGGTGCGTGCAAGGCCTTTCTCGCACACAAGATATTTTTGTTTGATCACTGAATCACCTTTTGTGCAGTACATCAAACAACAAATTGTAAGTGTCATGTTTTATTGAGGTTATCACAGGCAGCTGTCTCCCATAACACCCGGTCTCTCCAGCGCATTCTTACGACGCGCTACAGCTTCCAGGATCTTCTTCCGGGGCCCCAACTGGATGCGAATGCTTTTAAGGTCTTCGTCGGAGCAGAGCATGAGCGCCTCCAGGTCCAGGTGCTCTCTGGTGAACGCAAGGGCAAACTCGGGCAAGGAGACAGATGACAAGAATGCATCAAGTGGAGATGTTTCCTCCTCATCGTCATCCAGGCCCAGATCGTCCTGTTCCCATGGGACCTCCGCGTCGACGTTGCCCTCCAGGCCAGAAGAGTCTTCCTCTCCCTCGATCGTTTTATTCTGAACGAGGAAGCCAAGGTTCTCGTTGTTCCCACTGGCGATGTCTTCTGTGTCCATACTCATCCTCTTCATGAAAATAAGACCACCCAGGCCAGGCCTGTTGAAGATGGATTGTTTGACTTGACCTAATTCGTCGTCATTCCCGTAGCCGGCCTCTCTTTCATCTTCGAGCATGCTCTCGTCCTGCTCGTTGAAAACATCCAAAAATTCCGGATTCTCCGACGCTGGGTCCTCTTGTTTGAGGAAAATGACGTTCCCATCTCCTGCAGATCGCTGCAGAGTGCCCTTTTCTTTTTTCCCAAGCTTCTTTTGCAGTGTTCCTTTCACCCTAGCTGTCAGGGAGTCGGATTTGTCAGAGGCGATGAGTTTGGAAAACTGCTCATTGATGCCAGTCACGGTGCCAACGCTCGACAAGGTCGAGGTATCGCTCGGATCTGAACCGGCCCCCGAGGCATCCGTCCCGCGGTACATCTTATCCATCTTGCTTTGGTGTCTCCGCTTCACCTTCTCACAAAGTTTCACCCGTTTCTCCGCTTCCTTACTGGCCTCTTTCTTTAACCGGACGACTCTCTTTGGATTCTGATTGGTCTGCTGCGAGGCGGCGGCATCCAAGAAGCGCACGCACTCCATGCGGTCCCGCGAAGCAGCCACATCCATCGCCGTGTGCAGCTCGTTGTCCAGCGCGAACAGGTTGCCGTCGAAACTGACGAGGAAGCTGAGGATGTGCATGTGGCCATTGGCGGCGGCATGGTGCAGCGGTGTGTTTCCCCAGATGTCACTTCTGTTGGGGTCTCCCCTGTCACACACAAAACACCTTCCTATTACTTGTATAGTCATCATTATTCCACGTTATCCATCCATCCATCCATCCATCTATTTTCGATACCACTTTTGGTCAATAGGGTCATGTGAATCATTATTCCACGTTATTCATCCATCCATTTTCGATACCACTTTTGGTCAATAGGGTCATGTGTGGGCTGGAGCCTATCCCAGCTGTCTTTGAGGGGGCGGGTACAGGCACACTGTGGACTGACAGTCAGTCAGAGAGCACAATGAGACCAAAAAAAACCCATCAAACTCAGATTGGCATGTCGTTTGGAGGCACCAATAAACTTAACGTTTTTGAAAACTAATGACTGAATGCAGCAACTACTCGACACATCGACTAGTTGCTGACGGTCGATTATGCAACGACGGTTGAAGCTTGAAGTTGTTTAATCCCCAATCATGCGTTGTGGTATTAACACCGACCCTGTCCTGAAAGCAACTGCTGGCGTGTCCATCCCTCAAGCATGTGTAAATATTTCACTGAAATGTAACCGTAGCACGGTCACATATACTGTATATGCAAGTCTAGCCTCAAATACAACAGTACAAGTGCTATGAACTAATAGATTGGTACCGCTAGCTAATAAACAACCGATATCCTAATGTCAGCTGTCATTTAGCAAATTCACAAAACACTTGTCTTATAACAGACAGAGGATGCTTTGATGATGCAACGAGCAGTTTCAACAACCTCTTTGTTGTCGAAAGGAATAAACACACACACACACACACACACACACACACACACACACACACACACACACACACACACACACACACACACACAAAAACACATTTTTTTTCACTCAATGTTTTTTCCAGCAGACAGCCAGACACACATTCATACTCATTATTCACTGGCTACACCCCCTGATTCACTCAACCAATCACAAATCCCCTTAATAACCTTCACTGCCTCACAGGCACCTCAGAACATTTAAAACGATAGCAACAAACCACATAAGACAACTGCAAGGTTCTTACTATACATGACTGAATAAAAACCTTCCGTTTTTAAACTGCAGTACTAAAGTCAGTTGAAACCCTGTGTTTGTGTGATGTGAATTAGTATTAGAGTTATTTGGGTTCTGACAGTCTGTGAGTCCTTAAATTGTCTAAATGTGGAAAAGAATGTGACTGAAAATAATAGTGATGTCACCGATTAGTCAAGGTTGACTCGACTATTATCAAATTTGCATGAGTTAAGAAAATCTGAAGTCATTCAACCCTGACCATCATAGCTACAAATGCTCAAAATGTGGCCAACGAAATCATTTGGAAATCAAACACAGGCAAGATAAATTGGTAATCCATTAAGATGTAAAGTCCTCAACAGGTGTGCCTCACTGTTCCAGTCATAAAAAGTCATGACAGCAGCAACTGCTGTGCGTGTCATGAACAATGCGACAATTATTTATGGCCACGTTATTGAAACGAGCCTTGCCTTTCATTGGGAAGATTGTCAGTGAGAATGACGTGCTAGTTAGTGACCAGGCTCTTTTGTGGTGTCTAATGAGGGCTGGAGATGGGAGTGTCTAGGGGTGAATAAAGGATTCTTTTGTTTTTTTTCCCCCTTGCTGAAATATTTGGCTCAGCCGATCAGAGAGTTGCCACGAAATTGGATCAACGTTTTGGTTTGGTTTTGATGATCATAGTGGAATGTTAATGTGTGAGTGACTCACGTTGCAGCACTAGTAAAATGATTCATTTTTGCACATTTGCACTGATGTGCACTGATTACACTAAAAACATGGCTGCTACCAGTGGAACTACTTGTTTACAAAAGCGGAGTCAGTGTTGATCATTTAGCAGTTTGGTAAAACTATATTTACTGACTTTTCCAACTTCTGAAAAAGCTATTAGTGTGATTGAACACACACACACACACACACACACACACACACACACACACACACACACACACACAAATAAAAAGTGTGTGTTTCATATAGGCAGTAATAAAGCAAATTGTATACGAGGAAACAAATAAAAAGGTATGTTTCGTATCGGCAGTAATAAAGCAAATCGTAAACGAGGAAAAAAATCCCAAAAGGGGAAAACAGAAAGCATGAATTGTTTTGAATAACGTGTCTTTTGGTTTTTCTATAAGCCAGAGTAAAAAATTATTACAATCAATTTTGGGGGAAAATAAACTGAGACAATGCTTTAAGGCCATCTCACCAAACCCCGTTACATTATTTCTGTTCAGAAAATGAGAAATGAGAATAGCTTAGGAGTCCAAATAAGGTTAAATGATCTCAACTCACCCATTACACTTCATTTATGATCCAAACAAATCTATAAAGCACACATATTCTGCATATGAATCCAAGAGGCGATGAAGAAGTTACAGAACAATTCTCACCCTCTGCTGCATATGAGCTGGAGCGCATCCACATGTCCATGAAAAGCAGCCAGCAGAGTGGGCGTCATGCCATCTTCATCCGGAGAGTTTAGGTCCTTCCTGGTGGCCTCCTTCAAAAGGTCCAGGTAACCGTCAATGGCCGCTTTGTGGTAGCGAGACATGGCTGTCCTCTCCTAGGAAGACAAAGAGAGAGCAGAAACAAATTCTTCACCTTCCTCAGGAGCACAAAGCCTTCAGACCAAGTGAGCTCACACAGGGCGTCAACATGTCAGCAGCTCAGAGCCATAAAACAATGGCAAAGTCCAGTCCAGTGCACAAACCTCCCATTTTGTGGCAATTAGCCTGCTGCAGGCCTGCTTTACTGATTCCATTCTACAGTCCTTATCTCTTCTATGACAGCTGCAATAAATGGTCACTATTTCCTCCATTAAATTGGTTGATTAAAATGTGTTCATTCATTTTAAATGTGTATGTTTGGTTTTTATTGATATCCTTTGCTACAAATTACTTGGTCCATTTAACCACTTTACATACTAAATGTAGTCCTGGCAAATTTTAGCCCACCCTTGATGAGGGAATTGAAATACACAAATATTACTGTAGCATAATTGAGCAATAATTTATTTCAAAATGTTAGCCCCATACCATAATTCCCTGAGTAATTTTTAACATACGGTTGCAACATCAATAAATAAAACACCAAAATGCTTGATTTTTCCCCCCCTTGTACTGTTTGTAATGTTTCTATCTATCTATCTATCTATCTATCTATCTATCTATCTATCTATCTATCTATCTATCTATCTATCTATCTATCTCTGCCAGGTAGCTTAGCATTAATGTGGTGTAATTGCCTCGTAAACTGTCAGATGGCGCTCGTAAGTAGTACTGCCTTGTGCGCACCACGAAGAAGGAATGCGGAAGCCAAATGAATGGGGGAGTTAACAACGGCGTTATTTCCTGGTTCTTCTAATGTGACAGTTTGGCATGCCCATGTGAATGTTTGACTCCGAACAACTATTACTCAGCAAGCCAGACGGTTAAGACTCGAAGTTCTTGCCGCACAAACCGTGTGCCGTGACCGGGAAGAGGCTATCAATATGTCCGTTAATGGAAGTTCGCCGGTCGCCCTGCTATCCTACGAGACTCTGGTTCACGCTGTGGCAGGTGCAATGGTGAGTGGAAGAAAGAGAAATACGATAGCAAGACGTCAATACTACCGTTCGTAACTTTCAACTGAATCTCGGTAATTTTATTTGTTATTTCAGGGCAGCGTGACAGCAATGACCACCTTTTTCCCTTTGGACACAGCGAAAAGTCGACTGCAGGGTTAGTTCCCCTTGAAAAGACAGACACAAACAAAAAGAAAGCAATGCTAATCACAATAGAAGGGCTGATGAATAGCACCAGTGTCACGGTGTTATAACCATTTTAGTAATACTTTTTTTAAACACAAACAGTGGCACAACACATGTAGACAGCCAATATAGCAATTATCAATACTCACAGGTATCTATTCTTTATCCTCTGAAAAAAGACTTCACATTACAGCAGTTCACTGAGATGTTGTGACAGTCTCCATGTATATCCAAATGTCTCTATGATACTTCCCACCAGGTGACCAAGATGCACCCACCACAGGGAGCCACACAATCCCAGTGAATTACTCATGATGCACAAAGAGTTTAATTCTTCACATTCAATCTAATTGTCTAATTACTATTTGTTATTAAAAAGTACAATATTATTTTGACATTTTCCTTATGACAGAACACATTACGAACAAAGGTTGAATCAAAGCAACTTGACTCGTTTGTTGAATTTGATGTATTTTTTTCTTGTTTTCCTTGTTGAAAACTTTGTTAATGTTAATAAAAACTAATGTTTAAAACTGACTATTGCGCTATTCGGCTAACGATAATGTCAATGCTCAGCAGGCCAGATTGGAGAACATAGTGGGCTGTATAGTATGTGCCTTAAGAATTTAGCTTCTCATGATGAAATGGATCGGACCAACTAACATATAGTGTTGTTTTTTATTTTTTTGTTTTTTGTTTTTGTAGTTGATGAGAATAGAAAGTCCAAATCCACACCGGTCATCCTAGCCGAGATAGCGCAGGAAGAAGGCATGTAAGTATGCAAATGGCTTGGTCCTGTGCTGGTGATGTGCGCAGATGACTGACCACTCTCTGCGAATGACACGTTACAGGCTGGCTTTGTACAGAGGCTGGTTCCCGGTCATCTCGAGCCTCTGCTGCTCCAACTTTGTCTACTTCTATACCTTCAACACATTGAAGAGGCTGACGGTCACAGGGCCACAGCAGTCGAGACTGGGCAAAGACCTGCTCATGGGCATCATATCAGGTGAAACGTAATCCGCTCTTTGATGCTGGGAAATATTGTCAAATGAATTTGTCCCATGCCGAAACTATAATTGTGTCAAGGGAAACCAAATGTCGCTGTTGCTCATGCAGGCGCGGTGAATGTGATACTAACAACGCCCATGTGGGTGGTCAACACTCGTCTGAAGCTCCAGGGGGCCAAATTCAGAAATGAGGACCTTCATCAGTCACACTACAAGGGCATTTTTGGTGTGTGTAGCTGTCAACTTATAATCAAACCTTTTCTGTGAGACGGAGGGTTATTTTTTTGTGCCTTTCCTTCTTTAGATGCGTTCTCCCAGATTATAGGGAACGAAGGGGTGGCGACGCTGTGGAACGGCATGCTGCCCTCGCTCATCCTCGTCTTAAACCCAGCTGTGCAGTTCATGTTCTATGAGTCCATGAAGAGGGGGGCAGGAAAAGGTGGCAGGAAGGTGAGCAGAAACTCCAAAACAAGTGAATGAATAAGACTTTGGATTTCAGAAAATGCACTTTATTACTTCAAACTTAAAACAGGATTTACTGGAAACATGACAAAAGATCAAATTTAGCCTTGGGTGATGATTTCAAGGGTTCTTTTCTCCTCTTTAAACTATCAACTTAAAAAGGATTTCATTTATTTTCCTGCATGTATATGCTCAAAATGGGCCTACGTCTTTCTCCATTGGTTCCTAATATCATGAAAAAAATTATTAAATGAAATTATTTTGATGGCAGTGGCACACTTGTCGACTGGTTAGCACATCCGCCTCACATTGCAGAGGTTCGGGTTTTGATTCCAGGCTCTGGCGTTCCTGTGTGGGCATGTTCTCTCCGTGCCTGCATGGGCTTTCTCCGGGTACTTCGGTTTCCCCTCACATTCGAGGAACATGCATTGTAGGTTAATTGAATACTCTAAAATTGTCCCTAAGTGTAAGTGTGAATGGTTGTTTGTCTATGTGTGCCCTGTGATTGGCCGGCAACCAGTTGAGGGTGTACACTGCCGACGGCCCGAAGACGGCACATAGGCCCCAGCACGCCCTCGACCCTTGTGAGGAGAAGCGGCTCAGATAATGAATGGATATTATGATGACTGCGCTGGCACTCTTCCACAGATATCATCTGCAGAGATCTTCCTCATCGGAGCTGTTGCCAAAGCCATCGCAACCACCGCCACGTATCCACTGCAGACAGTTCAAGCCATACTCAGGGTAAGTACTGGATTATGTGTTGGATTTTGTGATTGTTTGTTCTTTGCTTAGTTGGGAGTTTAATCAATTTATTGATTAATTGAATCGGAGGCAAAATAGACTACACTACTTGGTTGCCACCAGTAGAGGCGCTGTTTATTTCTTCTCCTCGAGTTTGCCACCCAAGGAGGAACAAACATGATGTTAGCTTGGGGAAGTTGAGTTCCATCCATAATTCTGCTTTTGAAACAGTAATTTCAGAAAATTCAGAGAGCAATTCTACTGTTTCAAGTAATATTTTCATCAATATCAATCGATTATTGCGTATCCCATGTATTGTAACTAATTGTTTTTATTTTGTGATTGTTCACATAAGGGCATTCTACAGTTAACCACCCCTTTAAACTGAAACATTTCATAAGTTTGTGTTGTGCACATTTGTTATTTTGAATATTAAATTTAGTACTTTGTCCATTTTCGTACCTCTGGGGCCACAGTAGATTTTGCTTCGGTTTCGCGGGCTCTCGATGTTAAACATGCTGACGTGTTCATTTTTACTGAGTGATTAAGTGCGTGCTTGTCTTATCAGTTTGGCCAGTACAAAGGTGATGGCAAGGGCAGCCTGATGGGAAGTCTGGCAAGTATTTTCTCCTTGCTGATGGAACGAATTCAGTAAGTGCTGCTCTTAAGACGCACCGACAACCCTGCTTTGTCTCTTCATCCATTTTGCGTACTGTTTTGTTAATATAATACAGTAAAATACGTCTTTATTTGCCTAGCGCTTTTCACAACAGTTGTCGTGCCTGCACACTATACAGCTATTAATGAAAAAAACAACAACTTTGGAGTGGAAGTAAGAGTAAACCGAGATATTGTGTTTGCAGAAGTGCGCACACCCTCTCATAACACGGGATATATCTCTGCTCATTAATAGACCAATCACATCATCATTCATTTTCACAAACTAGGACAGTTAGTGTGAATAACGTGGTGTCGTTCGTGATCTGTGGATTATTTGATCAAGTTTATCACAGATATTATATTCTGGCATTGAGCGACTGTTTTCATTTGTGGAAAAATCTCATAATAATCGTCCTCCAAGTGGAATCTGGGTTGAACTGCGACAGGAGCTAAGTTATTGAGGATCAGTCTAAAGTCCAGATCATATTTGGATTACCAGTCCGTGTATGATGGCTGGTGGTTCATTAAAAAAACGCGTGTTCTATTTGTGACAGGAAGCACGGCGTTCTGGGGCTGTACAAAGGCCTGGAGGCCAAGCTGCTTCAGACAGTGCTAACGGCCGCCCTCATGTTCGTCGTGTACGAGAAGATCACCGCCGCCACCTTCAAGCTCATGGGCCTGCACAGGAAGATAAAGCAATGAGTAGGTAGTCACTTGCAGTACAAATCCAGCCGTGCCAGGTGTGGATGCACTGAAGAGTGGGACTGACACAGCTTCCAAGTCTCTGCTCAATGATGCACATTAACCAGAAGGAGGTGACGTACATTAAACAGATAAAGTTTGGTTACCACAGTCAACCAGCTCATGAGATTTAAACAACTAACAGCAATTTACCTCAAAAAGGGCCTCTACTGAACCAGTTCTCATCCTGTTTTGAATTTCAGGGGATGCTGAAGATCACTATTCGTCTTAATAGGATTTGGAAGTTGAAAATGTGATTTTTAATTGAACCAAAGTTGTGTGTGACTCTGAATTAATGACCAAAGGGGAAAAAAATAACGTTAAGTGCTCTTTAGACAGGTTTATTGACACAGTGGCATTTTATATCAACAGTCCTCATTAACATTGCTGTCAGTGATTGTCACTGGAACTGATGCAGGTGGTAAAACACAAAGACCAGTTATATGCAGTTTCATCATATATTTTTTTTAAAAGCCTCTCGCTCCAACCCGTCCCCTAGTGAGGAGAAAGGATCTGGAAAAAGGACGTATGGTTGTCCAACACAACTTTTACAATGTTCTTGAATCATTCCTATCTAGAAATGACCCATTGAACCGGGTCATCGGTTGCAAGAAGAAAAACACACATTATTCATACAACATTATGTGAAAGAAAGTCCAATGTGCCGCCTTGGTTCGATTGTGAATGTCATTGCAAAGTGTTACCTCTTCAAAAGCTCACCATTGCTGTTGGTGGCATGAACAAGTGCCTGTGGTGCAGAAAGTGAGCCGGACACAATTAATTAGTCGAAAGTCAGACATGACGCAGGCTCATATCACTTGGGTGCTCTGGTTACCTGAAAATAACTCGTCATGCAACTATTACATGAAGCCATTTTCACTTGTTTGGTAATACTGTATTTGAAAGTATCCTGTATATTGCCTCAAATTACCGGTAATTATCTTACCAAAATCACTTTGTACTGTTGTAGTAATACAAGGGGTTTAATAAAAAAAATAATAAAATAACACAATTCAGAGATTGAAGGTTTTTTTTTCTTAGCTTGGAAGAAGGACAACACACTATTTCCTCAGCAGTTACAGTATTTATTTCATCGTACATACTGATACACAGATTGAAAGCGTAACAAAAACTAACCCCAAAAACGAACCCCACAGCCATGACATAAAAGCGATGTCACCTAAATGGGAACTGCTGACAGACACACTTAGTTTCATAATTCATCATCAGTTCAAATTGAAAATCCATCACACCATCCTATTCTCTCTCCATTACGTTTCTGTCAGGTGAGTAGTTTGACTCGACGTTTGCTTTATACTACAGCGGTTAACTCGTTTTCTAATGACACGACAGGAAAAAACATTTGTACTGTTAAGGGTTTTAAGATTGCGGCAGTAACATTCTAGAATTCATTCACTTAACATGATTTTCATATGGAAAAAATTGCTTCGACTTGTAAGCCACAAACCATCGCAAATTTGATGGCGGTTCAACTTTGTTATTTTGCATGCATCATTTCGATTAGTATGAAATGAAGGTGGTGTGACTCCCTTTAGCTCATTTTCGTCACATACCAGTCAGGCAGGAAGGAATAAGAGGAGTTCCTGTGTACAGTGAAGGTCACGTCACTGAGTGCTTTCCGGGAGAACAGATACACCACACTGGAAGACCAGAGATGAATAGTTTGAATGGAGAGAAAAAAACAAACTGGATCATGCTATTTCTGAAGAAATTTTACGTGAATGCTGAAGTGCTGACTACACAGTGAGATCATCGAATTAGGTATGTAGAATGTGAGAATAAAATGAATGAGGACTTTACTTCGTGCCCTGTAGTTAGGTACAATCTGTAATGATAATTGCACACATGCATGCACTGACAAGCAGTTCTCTAGATTTGTGAAAAAAATATTCATGATAACAGACCAAATTTTGACAGGATTTTTTTTCAGGCTGGTGCCAGCGATTCAGCATTCACACAAGTGAAAGAAAGTACTTGAACTAGGAACTCACTGAGGATCATCTTCGATCACCACACGCTTGACAAAAGACAGGAAGTCGCTGCAGAAGTTCATGCAGACTTCTGGCTTCCAACCCAAGTACTCACCCTGCACAAAAGACAAAAAAAGCACGTTGTGGGCCTGCTTCTCCTGTAAAACAAGAAGTACTGTATACCTGAACCAGCTGTGGAATTTCGGCAGTTCGATAAGTCCGCACGGACACGACAAGCCCGTCGTCATTCTTGAAGCCGGCCACGATGCGAGGTACTCCGAGGAGGAAAGACTGTGCCCACCACTTGAGCAGCTTGAACCTGATGAGAAGAAAATCCCAGAGACCACACACAAGAGGTCGCTAAATCTCAAAATTTTGTCTTGTTCTATCGAGGTCAAAGTACACTTGTGTCAGATTACATCCTTCATCCTTGATGTCAATCAAAAACGTGAAAAAGCCAAGACTTGCAATTTGCAGTGAGAGTTGAATGCAAAGCTGATTTAGTGGCACCTCTGCGATTATTCGGAACTAACCTGCGGAACTTGCTCCGCTGTTTGTCTGTGTACATCTCTCCTGATGTCTTGAGCTCCACATAGCAGGCAGGAGGAGCCGGAGCGTTCGGATCTTTGTCCCGGCAGTCCACCTCGCCGGAGAACAGCAGCCTGTGGTCCGAAAGACGAGTTCGGACCACGCTGTAGTAGGCCTCATTGGAGTTGACCACGCCAGTCGAATCAGGTGTGCCGTCAATTTTGTCTTTGAGTGGGGGTGGGTGGGTCTGAATAATAATTACTCATAGAGTAATCCCTCTTATATTATCACTATTTAGAAATTCACGTATTCGCATATGAAAAAAAAATGTGCCGTAAAATGCCACAAGACACCGCCAACGTCCCTTCTTCATGGGAATTGGTGTGTCAAGGAATTATGTCGAAGTCATATATCTTGAACAGAGACAAGCTTTGTGTGTTTGGGAGGAGCTAAATTTAGCCCGGGTTCTTCATGGAGTTGAGTTGAGTTTCAATGTATCCAAGAGTTTCGGATCACCTTATTTTTCTGACTGAAGATTATTGAACATCAACCCTCTTCAATCCTGTTTTTTAAGCCTACTAAGAGCGATGGCTGTGGATTCATTTGATCATCTGTGTACATCTTTGGCCAGGATTATCAATATACTGTATATTGTGAAATAAATTATGGATAAAATCCAGATTTGTTTTCTGTCAACAGAGGGATTAATGCACTGTTTGTACAATATTTTTGTGTTATCGATTGCTCTTGCACTCTTCCATTTAAATGTGTTTATATGATGTGTGTTTAAAAGAACCGAAAGAAAAAGCCATGAATTCTATAAAAACATGCCTAGGGCATTTTTTTATGAAATGTATTTAGAAAGGGTATTTCTATGCTGCGTATTTCACTTGCAGCATGTTTTTTTTTTTTTTTTTTTTTTTGCGTGATATAATATAGAGCAAACAAAAACACTCCAACACTCCCGACAACAAACCGTGCAAGTCCTACCTGCGCATATGTACTGCTCAAACTTGTACCCCCAGTATATATTCTCTTCGTGACTCTCAGTGCGGTTCTGTCGGCCCTGGCAAGCACTCGCAGTTTCCACTTCGTTGATGTAAAATACTCCTTGGAACTTGGTGACGGCTAGCGACCACTCAGTTTGACCTTCGTAAGGTGTGCATAAAACTTTGGTCAAACGGCCTCGCGATGTTACGAAGTCAAAGTCAGCTAAAGCTCTGGAGAGAAAAAAAAATGGAAAATGTTATTGTTTCAAAGCAAAAAGTCGGGGTAATGTGGTGCCTTGAAATACGAGTTCAACTGGTACCATGAGCTCGCTCGTGACAGAAAACCATATTTCCCCATTGAAATGAGTTGCTTCACTTCAATGAGCATTGTGCTGGTGTCACTTTGCCCACTTGGGGGCAGTATAAAACATGCGATATAGGATGTACATGGAGACGGTAACAGCTTTTCATTGAGCCGCATTCATAATTCAGGCCTGATCGAATTTGATTCTTGCAGAATAAGGTTCCGAACGGCCCATTTATGAAAAAAAAATGTAATGAATAAAATAACTTTTTTGGTACCTTAACATGATCAACTATAAAAATATGACTCAATACTTTGTCCTCAAGTATTTGTTTAACTTTACAACTGAGAAAAAAAATTGAAAATTGGCCTTTTTTTTTTTTTTGTTTTTTTTTTGCCCGAGTTTGTTTTTTTTTTTTTTGGGGGGGGGGGTGTTGAACGTCATTATCTTTGTCTTACATTATAATGTGTTCATGCATAAAATAAAAAGATGATAAAATATCGAATATCGTCGAGCTGATTAATCGATTGGGCCTTTGTGATGGTCATTCTTTGCCTATGATAAAGAATATACACTTTTGAGTGTTGTTGGATTATCCGTATGGGTACACTATTTGTTGTTACTGCGTTCAAATATCTGTTGGTTAAAGCACCTTGAGACTGATGCTATTCATTAGCCTGTCAATGGCGTTTTGCATAGCTTGTTCGCATTAAGCTATGTGGACTTAAGCAACGTGGTTGTTCTACATTGATTTTTTTTTTTTTTGGTTGGACAGTAAACCTCTGTGAGTAAAAGTGCTCATCTCTGAAAATTTATGCCCAGTCTAAAGCGGGAGAAAAAAATAATTGGCCGAACAACTGCTCGTATCTCACATCATCGTCACTCATATCTCAAGGCATCTCTGTCGTAACTTACGACGAGACGTACGATGCAGCCGTCCTCTGCATGAGTTTCGACTTGTTGGCCAAGATCCATTGCAGGATGTGTTCCAGATTTTTTCTGACATTCTCATCCCTCTTTATGTAGCGGTCACTGTAGCCGTTCCTCAGGTCAAAATTTGGTGTCTCGTCAGGTTCCACAATGTATCTCATTTGACTCTTGTCGTGGTGGAATCGCCGCTCCGTGTCGAGGGAGAAGGAACCCTCCTCCACTCGCTCTTTGAACGGAGGCGAGCATCTTGCATACGGCTCCTTTCTGGTACTCAAAGTCGCAGCGTACATTGTTGTCTGAAAGTGAGGGAACTCCAAATGAAAAAAAACCCGGAGGCTACAGAGTAAAGAATCGAAACACTGATCAGTTGGACTGGTGCATTTAAAAGTTTCAAGGTCAAATTAAGTTCACTTGTAAAGGTTTTAGCGCATTTGCGGTTCATCCCCAAATCCAATAAAAGTGTCGTTTTATTCAACAATAGAGGCATTCTAGTCCAAGTGTGAGTTTGGTTAACATCCTGAAGCTACTTACTAATAACTGTGCTTTAAATCAGCGGTCCCCCACCTTTTTTGCCCCACGGACCGGTTTAATGTCAAACAGTATTTACAGGGACCGGACTTTGAAATGTGGTACAACAAAATAATATGATATGACCTGCATGAAAAGTGTGGTATTTTCGAAGCATAATAATAAACACGTATCATGACACAAGGAACGTCCTATCTGGCCGCAACGCCCTCTGGTCGCTATGGTAACGTTCAAACGTGCCTTCAAAACAAGATACAGAGCAAATAAAAAGTGCATGACAAATACGAGTCACCAACGCCGCATGTTATGTAGAGTGGGTTTGGTATGCGGGAATCTCCCGTTAAGATAAATCCATATTTTAAGTCAGACTCCTGATACTGTCGATTAAATGTAGCCTTCTTTGTCTTGAAAGTTCTGTCTCCTGGCTGGGCCTTTTCCCCTTCCCAAACAAACTTTCCAAAGACGTTTGTTTTTTTACTCATTTTGCTAGCTCCTGGGTTTCATTTTAACGGTAACCTAAAACGGAACCGAGAAGCGCGCCTTGACCTGCGTCAACAGTGACGTACTGTACATGGATGTAACAGTGGCTCCTGTGATTTTTCAGATTCCAAAATGAATAAAACTGAAGTCATGTAAGTTATTTATTCTTTCTGTGCGGCCCGGTACCAAATGACCCATGGAGCGGTACCGGGCCGTAGACCGGGAGTTGGGGACAACTGCTTTAAATCATAACTGAGCATTTTCATCTTCACATCTTGGATCAGTACCGGTGGACCTTACATTTACAACCACTGAGTATTCATTGCCAGATTTTCTGAGCTTTTCACCCCAAACATTTGTCTGTAAATCATAAAGTGAGAACATCATTAAAAACAAATCACGCCTAATTGTTGAAACCAAATATTAATAAGTACATTTGATGGTCTATCAAACACAAGTTCAAGGCCATAAAAAAAAAAAAGTCTCACCTTATCCGGGAACCAAGTGTGAGAGTGTGACGATCCCAACAGCACTGTCAAGACTTGTTGCCTTCACTTGGTTTTCTAAAAAAAATTCTCATACAATTCTGAGACTGGAGGTCTATTTCGTAGCTTGGAAGAAGGACAACACACTATTTCCTCAGTAGTTATTTATTTCATAGTACATACTGATACACAGATTGAAAGCATAACAAAAACTAATACCACAGCCATTAGATCAGGGGTGGGCAAACTTTTTGGCTCGGGGGCCGCATTGACTTTTAAAATTTGACAGAAGGGCCTGGTCAGCACCGCAAACTGTTTTTGCCCCGTGAGACAACTGACCCCCCCCCCCCGCCCCAAACAACAAGATTCCTGCTGTCTTTTCCCCATTCATTCAAAGGGAAGTCACATGACCCAAATGAAATCACTTCTCCCTAATAGTCCCCATTGTACCGCTGTTGGTCTGCAACCGCCACCGCCCCCCCAAAAAAAAGACATTAAAACCCAAATCTGATCCACCCCTTGTTCGCTATAATCTGGGAGAACACATCTAAAGGAGGAAAGGCACAAGAAAAGTAACCCTCCGTCTCACAGAAAAGGTTTGATTATAAGTTGACAGCTACACACACCAAAAATGCCCTTGTAGTGTGACTGATGAAGGTCCTCATTTCTGAATTTGGCCCCCTGGAGCTTCAGACGAGTGTTGACCACCCACATGGGCGTTGTTAGTATCATGAAATGAACGCAATCATTCACATTGAACCTTAATTGTGGACCAACCTTCGGCAGGCCGGATTAAAAAGACCAACGGGCTGGATGCGGCCCGTAGTTTGCCCACCTCTGCATTAGATAAAAGCGATGTCACCTAGATATTAACTGCTGACAGACACATTTAGTTTCATAATTCATCATCAGTTCAAATTGAAAATCCATCACAAACCCCGAAGTGCTTGTGTTCAGAACATTTTGCACATATTAGAAGCACAGAGAATCAGGGGTCAATTTGAGGTAAAATCCATCACACCATCCTATTCTCTCTCCATTACGTTTCTGTCAGGTGAGTAGTTTGACTTGACGTTTGCTTTATAATATAGCGGCATTTGTACTGTTAATAAAGGTTTTAAGATTGCGGCAGTGACATCCTGGAATTCATTCACTGAACATCATTTTCATATGGGGAAAAATTGCTTTCACTTGTAAGCCACAAAGCATCGCAAATTTGATGGCGGTTCAACTTTGTTATTTTGCATGCATCGTTTCAATGAATATGAAAGGAAGGTGGTGTGACTCCCTTTATCTCATTTTCGTCACGTACCAGTCTGGCAGGAAGGAATAAGAGGAGTTCCTGTGTACAGTGACGGTCACTTCACTGAGTGCTTTCCGGAAGAACAGATACACGACGCTGGAAGACCAGAGATTAATTGTTTGAATGGAGAGAAAAAAAAAAAAGCGTTGTTAGTATCACATTCACCGCCCCTGCATGAGCAACAGCGACAAATGGTTTCCATTGACGCAATTATAGTTTCGGCATGGGGCAAATTCATTTGACAATATTTCCCAGCATCACAGAGCGAATTGCGTTTCACCTGATATGATGCCCATGAGCAGGTCTTTGCCCAGTCTCGACTGCTGTGGCCCTGTGACCGTCAGCCTCTTCAATGTGATGAAGGTGTAGAAGTAGACAAAGTTGGAGAAGCAGAGGCTGGAGATGACTGGGAACCAGCCTCTGTACAAAGCCAGCCTGTAACGTGTCATTCGCAGAGAGGGGTCAGTCATCTGCGCACATCACCAGCACAGGACCAAGCCATTTGCATACTTACATGCCTTCTTCCTGCGCTATCTCGGCTAGGATGACCGGTGTGGATTTGGACTTTCTATTCTCATCAACTACAAAAACAAAAAACAAAAAAATAAAAAACAACACTATATGTTAGTTGGTCCGATCCATTTCATCATGAGAAGCTAAATTCTTAAGGCACATACTATACAGCCCACTATGTTCTCCAATCTGGCCTGCTGAGCATTGACATTATCGTTAGCCGAATAGCGCAATAGTCAGTTTTAAACATTAGTTTTTATTAACATTAACAAAGTTTTCAACAAGGAAAACAAGAAAAAAATACATCAAATTCAACAAACGAGTCAAGTTGCTTTGATTCAACCTTTGTTCGTAATGTGTTCTGTAATAAGGAAAATGTCAAAATAATATTGTACTTTTTAATAACAAATAGTAATTAGACAATTAGATTGAATGTGAAGAATTAAACTCTTTGTGCATCATGAGTAATTCACTGGGATTGTGCGGCTCCCTGTAGTGGGTGCATCTTGGTCACCTGGTGGGAAGTATCATAGAGACATTTGGATATACATGGAGACTGTCACAACATCTCAGTGAACTGCTGTAATGTGAAGTCTTTTTTCAGAGGATAAAGAATAGATACCTGTGAGTATTGATAATTGCTATATTGGCTGTCTACATGTGTTGTGCCACTGTTTGTGTTTAAAAAAAGTATTACTAAAATGGTTATAACACCGTGACACTGGTGCTATTCATCAGCCCTTCTATTGTGATTAGCATTGCTTTCTTTTTGTTTGTGTCTGTCTTTTCAAGGGGAACTAACTGCGGCAGTGACATCCTGGAATTCATTCACTGAACATCATTTTCATATGGGGAAAAATTGCTTTCACTTGTAAGCCACAAAGCATCGCAAATTTGATGGCGGTTCAACTTTGTTATTTTGCATGCATCGTTTCAATGAATATGAAAGGAAGGTGGTGTGACTCCCTTTATCTCATTTTCGTCACGTACCAGTCTGGCAGGAAGGAATAAGAGGAGTTCCTGTGTACAGTGACGGTCACTTCACTGAGTGCTTTCCGGAAGAACAGATACACGACGCTGGAAGACCAGAGATTAATTGTTTGAATGGAGAGAAAAAAAAAAAACTGGATCATGCTATTTCTGGAGAAATTTGACGTGAATGCTGAAAAGCTGACTCTGCACAGTGATATCTTTGAATTTGATATGTAGAATGTGAGAATAAATGAATGAGGACTTGACATCTTGCCCATTAGTTCGGTACAATTTGTCATGATAATTGCACACACGTGCACTGACAAACACTACTACAGATTTGTGAAAAAATATTAGCGATAACATACCAAATTTTGACAGGAATTTTTTTCCGCTCCGGCGCTCACGATATGCAAATAGTCTTCAGCATTCACACAAGTGAAACAAAGTACAGTGATCCCTCGCTATTTCGCGGTTCGTTCATCGCGGCTTCAGTGCATCGTGGATTTTTTTCAAACATATAAAAAAAAAACAACAACATTTTTTTTGAATTTTATTTATTTTTTAAATATACATGGAGTACAGTACTGTATATGTTGCTCTATGTGACTCGCTGTTGTTTTGCAGCTTCTTGCGGACCGTTTGTGGACTTAAAAAAGAAAAAAAAAATATATATATATATATATACGAATTTTATTTATTTTTTAAATATACATGGAGTACAGTACTGTATATGTTGCTCTATGTGACTCGCTGTTGTTTTGCAGCTTCTTGCGGACCGTTTGTGGACTTAAAAAAG